GGGAAAGAGGAAAGGTTTGTTAGTTAGCTATTCTGCTTTGGAGTCTGTACCGAGGGGGACGGGGGATCCAATAAATTAGGAGAGAGGAAAGAGAGAGAGGGCATCGAAGAAGTGAGAAGCTGTGAAGTGAGGGAGTGCACGGGGTCACTCGAAAACCCCCATATCTTGTATTCGTTTCCATTTTTCTAGAGAATTAATCCCATAGAATCAGTGAATTTACTCAATTTCTTGTGTTGATTGTGTGATTACCATTTGTTTCAGCTTGAGAGCTTAACACAACGCACGCGTACACACACAAAAACAAAGATCAAGCAGTATTTTCATTAAAGAGATGTGTATTCAGGAGTAGTTGTTTTGCCTTCAGTGAAGTAGTAACAATGTTATGACCTCATGTATAGCAACTCTCCAGGGCTTACATAAAATACAATAGAAACCACATATATACACACCTTTCTCCATGGACCCGCTTTTGATGAAGGTTGAATTTGGTTGTCAGCCTATCCAATAGATCATGGTTACAAAGACATAAAAGATTAATTAGCATGCCTCAGATCTGGTAGTTATTGTGTGTAAAATTTCATACGCATCGATAAATGAGAATACTAATCTACCTCCTCAAACTTCTCAAAGTTCTGTGTGTCCAATTCATCATTGACCTCAGGAATAAAAGCAGCTTTCATTTGATACAATCTATCCCACTCAATGCCTTTGAACCACGGGTGAGCCTGAAATAACAGGTCAACTAGTTAAACTTCATAAATAATTTATTCAAACATAAGCATAGACCAAAGAATTTAGCACAGAACACACCACACAACACCTTTATTTCATCTGCCCCTTTTGTTCCAAGCCTCTGATCAACATTACATAAGAGTCTACTAATCAGGTCCTTGGCTTCTGGAGAAAGTTTTGCTTCTTCTGGAAATTTCAAATGAGTTCTCCAATTAACAATCTGCATGATGTAGAAAAGAAAGTGTGTTTAATCATAAATGAAAATTTTGACAAGAAATAATGAAAGGATACAACTGGAGGAAAGAACATAATTCATGAGTCAAGATGATATCTATAAGACAAATTGTCATTTATTAGAGTTCTTTAGCAGCTACGAGATAACAACGGACTGAAAGAGAACTGCAGCAAACTTCTAATGAACTGGCAAAAATATCACCAAGGAGAATGAAAAACAACTTTGATGTGAAAATAGAGTCAAAGTGAATCATCAAATATGTCCAGCAGCGTTCGATTACGATTGGCTATATTAACCAAGTAAAACAGCTTCATATAGGACGCAATGGAATGAACTAACCATATAACCATCTAATCTCTTTGCAGCACCGGAGTACTGAGAGCATCATAGGGATGACCATTAAAAAGAAAGATTACTTAAGAAACCAAGATCATCCTTATCATAAAGATGTTACACTTCTATGTCTGCATTCGCCTAGATGATCCAGCAAATACATAGATCTGTTGATAACATCACTAAACTCCTAAAACGTGAAGTACCAGAATATTTAACCTCCAAAACCTTCTAAAACGGATGGCAAAATTAACTGGTAGGAAAGATAAGAATTCTTCATTATAGGGTTACCTAGAAATAAAGCACATGTGTCATGCAAACAGCTAAAAACACTAGACTCCCTTCCCGACTTAGTTGGAGCACAAGCATATTCAAAACCTTATTACTTTCCAATAACATTTCTAACCTAAACCTCTCAAGAATATATTCAACAATAGGTAAAACTAATTATCAGAATACATAAAAAACATGAAAACTAAGTAGGAAGCTTTGAAAAAGAAAAAAGGAAGATGAGAGAAGCTAGATGACTCTACAAAGTTATTAACAGGAGATCTGCTATGCCTAAAGTAAGCTCTTTTGGGCTTTCCATGGCTCATTTCAGATCTCAAATCCTAAAGCGTGAAATGAGAATCAAAACCCACATTGTAATCACTAGCAATGATACTCATGCTACCAAGCATCCGGACCAAGAAACTAAAATCACCAGAGTTTTGTGCTCAGGGCTTCAACTCGTAAAAGGTCACAAAGGAAATATAAGGATGAAAATAACAACAATACTTAAAGGTTCATCTTAATGTGTCAAAGATAAAAGCCATACAAATATAACAAAACAAGTGTTTCTATAATTACCTTCCTGCAGGTTGACATGGGTTCATCTGAATAAAAGGGTGGATATCCCACGAGCATTTCATACATGATAGCACCCAGGGACCACCTGGATTAGTATTGACAAAATCTCATCAGCAAAATGATAGGAAAGATATACTCATCAGAATTACGATAAGAAAGATATATTGTTTGTCAAAAAACAAAAGAATATCTATTAAACATTTACTGACCAATCACATTCCATTCCATATCCTTTCTTCAGCAGAACCTCCGGCGCAATGTAGTCCGGCGTTCCAACAGTAGAATAAGCCTACATTATCAAAGAATGTTTATGATAATAAAAACATAAAGCAATCACAATGGTACAATCAAGACATTCTTGCATATAGAATTTACATCCATATTAGGGGAAAGTATGCTGACAACAAACCCTACAAGGAAATTGAATGCTTTTACTGAGTTACCGTGAACACTATAATAGTGGCAGGTGCATTTTAGAAATGTACTAGAAACTTACAAGCATCCTCCTGTTCCTCTGCCAATGCTGCAGCTGCTCCTGTTGGGTGCGCTTTGGTGCAGCAGGACGTCCATCACTCTGCAGAGCCCCACTGAGATTGTTTCCCACAGAAAAATCCTTTTCTTGGAGGTTACTGCAGTCTAGTGGTTTACACAATCCGAAGTCCGATAATTTCATGTGACCATCCTTATCAAGCAGCAAGTTGTCAGGTTTGATATCTCTGTTAAAAAAAATAAAAAATAAAAAACAGGTTACAACTAATTATGGGTACAAGAAGACTGATAGAAAAATTATTAACTATAAACAACCAAATTTAATTACTAATCACCTGTGAATATAATTATGTTTATGTATAGATTCAATAGCTAGGACTGTTTCCCCTACATAAAACCTAGCCTCATCTTCAGTCAAAGTATCCTTCCGCATCAGTAAAGTCATCATGTCTCCGCCAGGAAGATATTCCATGATGAGGTATAAAAACTCTTCATCTTGGAAAGAACAATAAAGTTTCACAATGCAATTGCTGTCAACCTCTGCAAGTAGGTTCCTCTCAGCTTTAACGTGCTCAACCTTGAAGAAAATGAATAGAAATTGGAAATGAGCACAAGAAAACAATATACATAAACGTGCATCCTTCAGCTTGGGAAAATTTTATACCTGGCCTCTGCGAAGCATCTCTGATTTCTTTAGCTTCTTCATTGCATATACATGACCAGTTGCCTTCTCCCTACAAACTCTAACCTGCACCATGATAAGAAAAAAATGCAATTGAAGCAACCAATAGGTGGATTTGGTTATGTGTAAGCATAAGAAGTAAATAAATGTCATTTGTTGAATTCCAAAATGTGCCATACATAAAGCCGAAATAGACAGAAGCATCAGGATTAGCAACTGATGGAGTCCAAGCACTCTACATTAACAGAAAATTTCTCTGACCCATTTAACACAGATTCTCCTCAGGTATTAACAGTATAGCACCTATAGTGCATGTAAAATAAAAATTTCATACTAAGATATTACCTCTCCAAATGCGCCCTTCCCTATCATTGTTAATGGCTCAAAATCATCAGCACCCATTTTATGTCTTTGTAGACGCATATATTCTGTTTCCTTCTTCTCCAAATACTTGAGCAAGTTGCTTTGCTCTTCCTCAGTGACCTCGGCATCAGCCAGCTTCTTTTCAAGTACATGACGTCTGTATTATATAAAATTCAATCACTTCGAGGGGCTAAAGAGTAAACATGAGTGAGCAATCATTCAAGTATTAAAGCATGATTTCAGGATAAAGTTGATCGAGTACTTTACATATCTAATCACAGACCCAGAAAAAACTTCCCCAAAAAAAAAAAAAAAAAAAAAAAAAAAAATCAGACTTAGACTTTGGACCGGTAGCTTTATGATCTGAGAACACACATAGAAAGAACAACAAGCAAACTGCACTTATGCTGTGCAACATTTTTTATTTTTTTTCATGCTATCACTAACATATATCTATAACTTGACAAAACTAACACAAGTAGAAAAAAAAAGTACCAAAAAGTGTATAAAACTACTCAATTACTGATAATTCTTTTATCAAATACCATAATTGAACAACAAGTTAACAACTAGTTTATCATCCCAGTAGCTGTTTAGCTATTTTCAAAAGTTCACTGCATGGGTGCAATGATCTGTAAACTGTTCTCTGTTTCCATCAGATATTTCGTATACATCATACTACTCAGTTGTTAAATAAATAAAGGAATGAATACATATTACATCGAACAACCAAGAACTATAGGATAAGTCAATGGTTTGTCAAGAGAACTATGTAAACAGTTGAATCAGCTGTGAGCATAAGGATGAAGTACACCTTCAAGCCAACATGAATGCAGAACAAAGAATAAAAAAATAATAGGCTGGCAAGTTATAAAACTAACTCAAACTTCACCACCATAAGAAGAAGCATCAAGACTATACCGTTCCTTCCTCTCCTGCAAGCTTTTCATCTGCTTCTTGTAATGATTTTCTATATACTGTTTTGCAGCCGCAACCTTCTGCTTAGTTACATTTGAAGGCACCTCGTCAGTTGCTGGTACTTTTGACCCCTCTTTTGCATTGCCTGTAGTTTCCTTGTTCTTTGATGACCTTACCTTTTCTTTCGACTTCAACTTACTAAACCAAGATCTCACAGAATCCATTATTTCATTCAACTAAAATACACCCTCGAAAATCCACTTCTATATGTACATTCTATTCCACCTACTACTGAAGGGAGCACAATTGAAACATTTTGCAAGTGGAATCAACTATATACTAAAGCATCATTAATCCCAAGAAGCCGATGCATTGTTCTGCATTGGTAAACAAACAAACATCTATTAACTTGACAAAATTCAAATTCAAAGTCTCCAAATAAAAATAAATAAATAAATAAATTTGATGAAAAATAAAACACTTTAATCTAAGCCAATAAGACTAATTCCAGAAAAACAAGCTAAATCCACGTTGTAGTTACTAAGAAAAATTCAAGAAAATAGTCGAAATAAGGCCACAAATTTCCAGAACTGAACACTTTTTTAGCGTGTTTCGTTGTCAAAATGACCCAGTAATAGTAACATCAGAGCTCGAAAAACGAAACAACGTACTTTATACATCAACAGTCACGGGAATCTTCTAAGAAATAATTAAAACCGTCTAAAAAATTCCGAACAAATTTCTCCTTTTTAAACAACTAACAGACCAAACCAATTTAAACCAAATCCAAAAAATATTTCAATCAAAATTCACCCGAATCTCCCGGAGAAACAAGCGCATTTCCCAAGGGATTCCAATTCCCCCGTCAATTCCGAAAAAATCAGAACCTCAAACCCGATCAAGAGCACAAAAATTCCACTCCACCGAAAGGTGCCAATTTTACCCCAAATTCAAACGCGATAAGATCAAATCAGGAAAGTTCGAGAAACTCCGATTCCAAAAGACGACCAGAAAAAGAAAAAACAAAAAATACCTCGCGAACCGCAGGAGTAGAAGAACGAAGCAGCAACAACCGTGAAGGAGAAGAAGAAAAAGAAGAAGAAGAAGAAGAAGAAATTGGAAACCCTAGAGAGAGAGAGAGAGAAAGAGAGAGAGAGAATCGGAGTTTGAAAAAAAGAGTGAAGAGTGGAGAAGAGCACTTGATGTTGGGTGTTGTTGGTTATTGTTCATCACTTCTGACGCCCCATTCGCTCTCTTCCTTTCCTTTGCGCTTTCTCTTTTGGTTTTTCGTATTTTTTTTTTTTTTTTTTTTGGGAAAAGTTTCAACTCTTGCTTTTTATAGTTCCTTTGACTTTTATGTTTGTTTTTTGAAAAAAAAAAAGTTTTATTTTTTTTTTATTTTTTTTTTTTTTGCTTTACGCGCTAACTGCGTGTTTGTTTTGTTTGCACGTTTTTGTCTCCGCGTTTTTTTTCCTTCAATTTTTTGTATTTAACTTTTTTTTAATTCTTTTTTTTGGGATAATTTTTTTTTTTATTTGACATTGTGGGAAATGAAATTATTATAATTGTATTTTTTTGGTGAGACTTTAATGTTGCTCATTTATCGCTAGATACTCTTAAGGTAAGATAGTTAATGGGATTTAGGTGGTAACTACTACTAACGGTTGGTGGAGACCAATAGATAGGTAATTTATGTAATGATGATACTTTTTTCATATTTTATAGATAGGTAATTTTTGTAATGATGGTACTTTTTTTATATTAATAGATTTATGAAACTAATTAAGTAAATAGTTGATTTTAGTACTATTCAAAATAAATAATAGTTTACTGCATAAATATTTATTTATGATTACTAGAAAAAATTTTAAGTAGATTTTTTTACAACCGATAATAAAAAAATTTTACTACATAAATTATTTTTTATCAATAAAAAATAAAATATTTATATGGTAAACTGTTTTTTATTTTAAATAGTTTTAAAATATACTATAAATTTTAAAAATGTGTTATTTACTGCAATTTTTGTATTTTTTTAATGATTTAGTTGATAAGATATAAAATTTGTTATATATAATGCTAAATTTATAGTAAATACAATTTTTTTTTTAATAAGTGACATTAAGATTAATATTATAATATGGTAGATGTTATACGGCTCCACATTTACAATTGAAAATAAATGGGTCTCATTGTTGAGACCCACATGTTATGCACCGGCAGAAATGCTTAGCAGTTATAAGGAGTTATAGCGGTATGGAGCCGAAAAGTTTTGTAAAATTTTAATAAAATTTTAATCCTATAATAAAATTTTAAGTATTGATATGGAAATTTAGGATTGCAATGAAGATGTTAAGTTGCTTACACCATTATATGTTTAAGCAATGTTGCTCTTAGTCTCTTATATTGAAACAAATATAAAAATGAGGCTTATTGCACGTATTAACAAGACAACGATCCATTCATTCTCCAATTACGTTTACTAATATAAGCTTAACTTACCAACTTATTTGTCCTTAAAAAAAACTTTGCAATGTTTATTAATTAAAACCTTCTTTTAAAAGGTGAATCGTTCTTTTCTAAAATAAATAAAGAAAAAAAATTTGTTGTAAAGAAGTGGTATTTTTTTAAGAAGTTTCTCTAATAAGATTAAAAAAATTAAAGTATCAATAGTTTTTTTTTTATTTTTTAACCGTTAGATTTATATTATAAATTATTTATTCTACGTACTTTTTAAATTTGATATGATTTTAATCAAATTTAATAATCAAAAATTGACTCTACCAGTAAACTGACTACACGAGAAGGTCCCCAATTATATATTAAAATACTGCTAAGAAATTTCATACAAAGAACTTTTTCTTAAAACAAAATGTGACCATTTAAGTGTGAGAAACAAGAAGCTCGTGTTGGATAATAATGGATAAACTCTTGTGCTAGAGAATTTCACTTGAAAGTACAAACTAAAGAAAGATTTTTTTATATAATAACAACAAATAACACAAAAAAATAAAATAAAATAAAACCAGAGAAAGAATTGAAAAGGGAAAAGGAGAGAGGAAATTATAATAATTGAATTGAATATTTTATTAAAGGGGGTGAGCTGGACCATGGAGACAGATATGTCAAAGAATAATTGCCCAAACAATGACTTTACTCAACACATTCAAAGCCTTGATGTCCGCCTGAGATACAGCCTCTTCTTGACACCTGTCATTTGGCTTTCACATCACACACGTATTTAGAGTCCGTTTAATTTACTGATTTAAAATTTTAATTTAAATTAAAATTTTACTTTATATGAAAGTTTATTACTATAATAAAAATGTTAAATTTAGGATCCGTTTAATTCGTTGATTTAAATTTTTAATTCGAGTTGAGATGTAATTTTATGTGAGAGTTTTTTATTATAGTAAAAAAGTTAAATGTGACTGTTTCTAAGAGCTTTTACTGTAGTAAAACTTAAATTATAAACTCAAATCGATAAAATGAACGGGACCTTAATCATTTTTAAAAACTTTTTATTATTATAAAATTTAAATTATAAACTCGAATCAATAAAATCAACGCTTTAATAATCTACGACTATATTCTATGTAGTCTATGCTCTCCAGGTTAATAGCCTTGCAGCTAAGTTTTTAGATACATTAGAATAGAATAGCCTAACTATTTTTCCTATAAACAAAAGAAATATATATATATATATATATATATGGAAGTCTTCCATCCGGCAATCCAAAACTGGCTGATGAGTTAGGCAATCCTTTTGAACCGTTGGATGAAAACATTAAAGGCTAGATTTTCATAAGAGCAAGTTAAGATCATGTAATAGTTTATAGATGGGTGGGAGCTATTAAAATATTTGACAAATAAGGTAGGCTCTAGTAATATTAAATGCAACTTAAAATGAGTAAAAGTAAATTGTGGTGTTATTTTAATAGAAGAGAAGTGTTTGATTCATAATCATTTCTGTCAGTTTCATTCATGTTTATGTTTATTTTAGTTCAAATTAGATCATGGCAAGTTTCCTCGTTCACTTTACAGATTCAAGTTTTTAATTCGAGTTGAGATGTGATATTTTTTGAGAGATTTTCACAGTAACAGAAAAAATTAGATGTGACATTTTCTAAGAATTTTTTATTGTAGAAACCTAAAACTGAAAACTCGAATCGGTAAAATGAACGAGGTCGACATATATCATATGTTTACTTTTTTTTTTTTTGAAAATTACCTATTCACTTGATGTTATATACACAGTCTTGCACATCGACATAATTATAACGGTCATTAATCAAATTATTTGGGTGCCACGTTGGAGTAATTTTATAAGTTGTATCTCACGTTAATATTTCAATTACTATGACATTATTTCTAATTATTTAGTAATAGAGGTCTCATTTAATTGTTAAGAAACAATTAACACTAACGTTATATTTGCTAAAATGAAAAGGTGATAGGAAAAAAGTTCGATAATTTTAAAGTAGAAATTTCCTTTTGTACTGTTTTTTCTTTTTATTTAATAGGTCGGAAATTAAGAAAAGTTAAAAATATCATGTATTTATATTTAGACACAAGGATAACATTTATTAATATTTTCGGGTATCAAAATATTTGATCTGAAATTAGGAAAAAAAATTGATTTCATGGTACTAAAATAATATCTTTTAAAATGTAATGGTAATATTTCAATATATCAAACGTGACGGCACCATATTCATGTGTTTATTCTCTTACTTTGTTTTATTGGTTCTATATGTATTTTGAAATATCGTTTGGTATGAAATTTAAGTTTAGTTATTATCTTTGTCTAAGTATAGTAGGTCAATTCATATGCTTAATCATAATGCTTTATTACCATATTTACACATATTAGTTGAAACTGTACGTGTACGTATGTTAGATTGTATATGTAAGAATTAAAAACATATTTATTAGGGTCTCATTTAGAGAAAGAAAAAACATGTATAATAGGACAAAAAGGAAAAGAATGAAAAAGAGGGGAAGAAAAAAAAGAGAGAAAATAAAATGAAAAATAAAATAAAAAGAAAAAAACCAACTAACAAAACTTTTATTAGGGGAAGATACTTTAAAAAAAATTAGACAAGAGTATTTATGAGAAGAAATTATTTGAACTGAGAATTAAAAAGAAGTATATTTATGATGGCTAATTTAGAGAAAAGAAAAAAATGTACAATAAGGCAAAAAAGATAAGAATTTATAAAAAGAAAAAAAGTAGAGAAAAGATAGAGAGAAGAGAGAAAAATCGGCGGATACTAATGCTCCGTTCATTTCGCTGATTCGAGTTTAGAATTTGAGTTTTACTACAGTAAAAAGCTCTCACAAACAATCACATCTAACTTTTTTACTACAGTAAAATGCTCTCACATAAAATTACATCTCAACTCGAATTAAAAACTCGAATCAGCGAATTAAACGGACCCTAATTAACTTCAATATTATCTATATTTTGCTATCCTCGTTTACTATTTACTCTATTTACTTCCCACTCCCAGCATTACTCTATGCTCGTTTCATTATGTCTTTTACAGATTATTCCTACTCATATTTATCTTTGTTTAATTAAATGCATGGTAAAGTTTGTATATTTTTTTTTCAAGCCCAAAACATGGGATCATTAAACTAAGGCTAACTGTTTAACTCCTATTAAATTTGTTACATTAAGACTGTGCTTCTTGAGATACACGTCTAGCTATGTGTCTCCTCTTATTAAACACAAAATCAACTATTGTTACTACGTTTTGCTTCTTCAAATACACTTCCTTTAAAACAAATGTACACTAGCAGGTATTTGGCCTTAATTTACCAATTTTTTTAAGCCTCTGTACATTTTCTAATAGATGTAAAATGACTAATATGGCCTTCAACTCATTTTTATATTGTTTCTTACTCAGACCTCAACCTTTTAACTCCTACAAGTGTCCTCACGTGAATAACTTCCCTCTGGCACTATAACTTAAAGTCAACATCAGTCCACTTTTTACACTAATTTAATTGCGATTCATAATTCATTATAATATTTTTTTTTATAAAAAATACATATAAATTAAAAATAATTTTAATCTCATAATTTTAATATATGAACTAAACGTCTTAATCTCATATGCCGCTCCGGTCCGGTTGTCGAGTTGGAAACAATACATATATATATATATATATATATTTACATACATCACGTTAGAAGTGTTTCAATATTACATGACAATTAACTCAATAAAATGTATACTATGATAAAGTCTTAAATATGATATCTTGACCAATTCGATAAATTAACTTTTTTTAT